TATGGAGATCTTCCTCAATCCATCACAGCCATAAGAGGCATCAGAGAAGGAAGGAATACTACTCTTACTGGGGGAAGATCCTGGATATCCCTAGGGTAAGTCAACCCTTGATTCTGGCACATACCACCATGGTGGGGACGGAGTTCATCTTTTGGCTTTTCAAGATATTCTCAACAGCAATATTCAAACAGTATAAGGGAATACAGAGTTTTCATGTTGCTTTGCCACATTAATTTGCACATTACACATTACTAATTACACCATAGTTTATCTATTTAGAAAAAGCAACTAAATAAGATGTTAGTTCCATATGTAAATGAATAATAACATCTTAGAATTAGATGCAATCTCATAGATCATCTCATTCACCCCTGTCATTCTACAGATGAAGAAACCAAGGCCACACACATAGATGATGGCAGAGCTGGAAATAATATTTGAATTTTACTTCTCGGAGGGCTGTAGTTAGTATATGGGGAAAGCAATGGATTCACCATTTCGAGGCTGTAGGGCCAGATCCTTAAACCTTCTGAATGAAAATAATACCTTCTGTGGATTCAATGAATGTGTATATGTTACATTAAGCTTACGTTTATTTTAGAAGCTGCCACACAGAAAAGACTTTCTAAGTGGGCTTCATTTCCCCGAGAACTTGTTGACTAAGGTCCTGTCTCAGAGAGAAACCAGTTAGAATCTACACAAAATGGGAAAAGGTGAACCCCCTAAGAGTCTAACAAACATGAATGTTTTCCAAGTCTAGCCAAAATAATTGAGATGGAGTTTTAGGAATGTGCAACTAGAATATAACTGATGGGGAAAAAAGAGCTGTGGTCTAATGAATTTTATTGTAATCTTTCCAAAAGAAGATGACAATGGAAAGGGAGGCCTGGCCTGCATGGGAGTAGAAAAGGGCAACAAAAGCATGTGAATTGGCCATGTTGCCTCCATCCCTGTCCAAGAGAGGTGATGGCATGAGCAGGATGATAGCAGCTGTTACTTCCACCCAGGAAATTCTTCTCTGATTCTACGCTTCCCAAGCACGTTTCTAAGAGTAATCTATGTTAGGACAATAGCATTGCCTTCTCAACCTTCAGTCGCCCTCTCCTCTCCTCTCCTCTCCCCTCCTCTCACTTACCCTTCCTCCTTCCTTCTCTCTCTCTTTCAGTTCACCTCCATTCTGGGCCATGTGGTATGCAGATGTGAAGCCAACATAGCTATTGTGCCACCAGAAGAAAAAACAGCCTTAGAGTGAACCTGACATTGCAGAAGGCAGAGACACGGCACGTGCATGTGCACACACATACACACACACACAACAAACACAATCAGATTTTCATAATATGTTTGAGTGCCTAAATCAATCCAACTCCAGGTCTCACTCTACTTTGCATTTCCAATTACAGAAATCACCAAATCTCCTCATTTGTGTCATCTGTTTTGAATTGTAATTTCTGTTACTTGCAACAGAATGTAATCCAGTGGATCAAAATTAGTTTATTTATGAGAACTTTCCTACATGAGAGATAACGTACTAATCAGCCAACACATACATGAAAGATGATTTTCAAATGAAACTAAAAAATTAGCCTTAAATTTTGTTTTATTCACAGGTGATTTTGTTTAACATGATTCACTTACTTGGGTGCACTGGAACATGTCTTTTAACCTTGCAGAATGAATCACTTCTGGAAATACCAAATTTTACATTTCTGGACCTACAAATCTAAGGTCCAGACCCTGAGATGTGGCTCCTATGTTCCAGTGTTGCCTCTTGTGGGACTCGGGATGTGCATACCTCTCTCTGTTCATCTCATCTCTCTCTTTAACAAAGTCCAGCCTGGAGCTCCCCAATTGCAGCCACAGTTGGAGCCACCCAGTCACTGCGGGACACGGACCTCTGGGGTTCAGACTGAGATTGCCATGACCTGCTTCATCCTCATCCAGAACTGGGAAGGCAAGACACGCCTGGCCAAGTGGTACATGCAGTTTGATGACAATGAGAAACAGAAGTTGATTGAGGAAGTGCACATGGTGTTCACCGCTCGAGATGCCAAGCACACCAACTTTGTGGAGTTCCAGAACTTTAAGATCATTTACCTATGCTATGCTGGCTTCTACTTCTGCATCTGCATGGACGTCAACGACAACTACCTGGCCTATCTGGAAGCCATCCATAACTTTGTGGAGGTCTTAAACGAATATTTCCGAAATGTCTGTGAGCTGGACCTCGTGTTCAGCTCATACAAGGTTTACACAGTTGTGGATGAGATGTTCCTGGCTGGGGAAATTGGCGAGACCAGT